CTGCCAGGGCCCTGCTGGCTGCCAGCTGAAGTCCCCGCACTCCCTGGGGCCGAAGCAGAGAATGTCACGGAGGTCTCTGGAAGTCACAGATTCCGTGACTTCCATGACCTCCGTGACATAAACATAGCCTTAATGATGAGTAAAGTTACTCGTATGCGTTTGCATTTGCAAGATTGGGCTGCAAGTGGGGGCTGTTCACGTGGCTCACAGTACCCAATCTCTTAAACACATGTGATATTTCTTTCTTTGCTTCTTCAAGATGCACAGAATGGCCGTAAGCGGCCACTGAGTTTGGGCGCTGAACCTGACACACCTTGCCTCGGATTGTCAGAAATGCCGAGCATTGGCAGCTCCAACTGACAGATTGCTGGTGCTTAGCAATTCCAAAGGTCAAGCCCAGGGTGTGTCAGATTCAGCATCCAAATTCAGTGGCCACTTTTGAAGCATTTGGCCTAGATTGTCCATAATGCCTATGAATGCCCCTTTGTAGGACGTATTAGTGAATATTTAACAGAGGATGTGAAAGAAAATATGGTTTTTTACAGCTACGTTCTGGAGTCCTTGTGTATGACTAGAGTTCTTAAGTGCTACTGCAATACAAATCATAAATAATAATGAAGCCATATATAGAGCAAGATAAAATTATTATTTTTACTTATGGTAGCGCCTAGGAGCCCCAGTGTGTGGACTAGGGACTCCACACTACTAGCAGCTGGACAAACACATAACAAAGATGGTCCCTGACTCGTAGATCCTACAATGTATATTGCATCATATCTTTCAGATGTAATGTATCCCAGCATGTTGTAAATAAAGACATAAATGTAAGGGGCACGAGTGGGAAAGAGGTCACCAGAATGGCAGTATGCGAAAACTGTGGCCTGATTCACCACTTTGTGTTTTTGTTTGCCCCTCTGCCAAATGGGTGTAAAATGTTGCTGCTGTGATTTGGCAGCATTGCGCACCCACTTTACACAGGTGTGAATGAAGACATAAGGTGTAAGGCAGTGGCAAATCAGGACCTTAAGTCAACTTCAGAATGTGCTTCCCTAAGATTTTCAGGCTTGTGTGTAAGGGTAAAGAAAGACACATTTCAATATCTGGCTTCTTCACAGTTCTCCCTAACCCCCAGCCCCCTTCCTTCCCACCCTCAAAAAAACTTCACAGCAAATATTTATAGAAGTATATCCCACAGACAACATGCTCCAGGGAGCACATACAAAATCTACTATAACACAATCTTGAGTACCTTTCTACAGCAAATAAAAGGCCTACCCAAAAGATAGAACCCAGTATTGAATTCTATCACTCCTTACTCTGGCAAACAGCTGGGAAACATGGTGTCAAATGCTGCACCATGCTAGGAAGATCAACAACAAGAGTGAGTTTGGAGCAGTGAGGAAAGAAATGTTCATAGTTTTACATGGAAGGTGTTCAGATACTACAGTGACGGATAGCAGAACAAACCCCTAAAACAGATGAGCACGATCCCAATGAAACCATCTCCCATGAGCCTAAATCTAAGGACCATGAATTCAAGCATCCCATCTCAGGTGCTGTGATGGCATATGGAGAAAGCTCTATGAGACAGCTAGGAACCGGACAGACAGCATCTAAGTAAATCCCATAGAAGTCAATGTAAAAGCTCCCATAAACTTCAATGGGCTTTCTATCATGCTCAGAAGGCCTTACTGCTCAAAGTCAGCACCTGAATTGCCACTGGAAACCATTTCAGCTGTCAAATAGGTGCAACATGTTTCCAGCGTCTAACACTGGGAAACAGGCAGTAGAATTTTCCACCAGCTTTCACTTGTTCTGAGTGGTCTTTAAGCATAACCCCATCTACACCACATTGCAGTAATCCAGTCTGGAGGCTAAAGGCAAGGATTAACATGGCAAGGTGCAGATCTGAAAAAAAAATCTGAAGTAATTAGCCTCATATACAAGTTAAAAGTACATTGCCACCTATAGTTCTATAAGCAAACGAGGTACCAAGAGGACTCCCAAATTGTGAATCTCTTGGACGAAGGGGCATACTCCAGTAATGGGAACAGAACCATCCCTGATCTCTCTTCTGGATCCTCCTCCCAAAGAACTAGCATCCTCTATGTTTTCTGAACTAAATATGGATCATACTGCTACAGTGTTTCTAATCATTCACAGGTAAATGTTGGAAGACCTAATCTCAAACACTGTTTTTTAACATGGACCTTAATGTGGGCCCTCTCCACACAGGGCAGCCAAATAGTGCATAAAAGTCAAAGCTATACACTGGTTTTGTTGCAACTGCATTGAATCAGGTTTCCATGGCCTGTGAGATGGAAGTGTAGTGCTCACATCTCTATCCAGCAAAACATTATGGTGACATCACAAAGAGGAAAGTGGACACTATATATGATTATTGTGAAATGGAATAAAGTTACTTATCTAGTTCTATTAGTGAGCATAGACTAATTATTTAAAATTCCTGATTCTCAACCAGTGGAAGGTAGGATTGGAAAAAAAAATGTTTTTATTTAAGTACTATGTTTTAATCAAGAACAGAAGAGTTTTTCCATAAAAGTCACTTACTGTATTAAAGAGTATTAGCATACTAATTTTAACACTTTTTGACTTCTTCCCGTTTAAGCTCATATTCTTTAGTCATTGCAGAAAATAATGATCTTTCTGAAATTTGCCAAGCTGCCAATGTTGGAGCTTGGATTGAGGCTACTGGGTTTTAGTTAAGTAGCTTCAGTACAAAAAAATTAAAAGAAGAAGATTGTTTTGAGAGAAAGCATGCGTATATGGGAAAAGAAGGAAGAGAGAGAGATGGGAGAGGGGCGTTCTTGCCTTCTGCCCTGAAAGCTTTCCCTTTCATCCAAAGCTATCATAATTCCACTACGTGAAGAATAGGACTAATCATATCACACTTCCCAGCCATTGCCATTTGCTTTCTCCTTCATTTCAGGGCCCAATTCAAAATCACTTACCCCTTCCATCCTCTTGCTCCAACATAACACATGAAGCTTCTTTTATATATAATGATTTTCCTTTGATGTATAACTCAATCATCTTAATTTATCCTCAGCCCTGTGAGGTAGGGAAGTTTCTATTCTCTCTCTCACTCACTCTTTTTTTTTTTTTAAAAGGGGGAACAGAAGCATAGAGAGATTAAGTGATTTGCCCAAAATCTCAGTCTGTGGAAGAGCTGGAGACAGAACCACAATCTCCTCTCTTCCAATCCAGTTCCCTAAACACAAGATTATTGTCTCTGTTATAGAATACTTGTCTAGTCTTCTATCCCTTTACACAGTCTTGACACTAATAGTGCAAGGACCTTCTTGTCAGAAGCGCCAATGAACCTAGAAATGCTTTTCTTTAGCTCTATTTTATCAGCTCCACCTCTTAATTTCAGGTCTCTGAAATCATCTTTCCCCTCCTGCTCTTATCCTCCAATCACTTACACACATGCTTAACTTGTAGTCAAAAGGAACTACTGCAGGTTTAATGTTAAACAGGAGCATAGGTCTTTGCACTGCCAGGGACTTCATTTTTCTCTCCCCGCACTGTTTATTTCTGAAATTATCATGCAATTCTGCAAAATGTGTCTTGTGGGAGATGCAGTTTATTCTATAGCAAATGAGTTCAATATGCAATTTGTTTATATTACTGCCATATCATCAATTTCTTAAGTTAATTATAGAAAACTAAGTTCTATTGTAAAAAGAAAAGGAGTACTTGTGGCACCTTAGAGACTAACAACTTTATTGTGCATAAGCTTTCGGGCATTACAGCTCACTTTATGCACAAATAAATTGGTTAGTCTCTAAGGTGCCACAAGTACTCCTTTTCTTTTTGTGAATACAGACTAACACGGCTGCTACTCTAAGTTCTGTTGTACCATTTTAATGCTGCAAAACATTTTGAGGGATACATTTTGTTATAACTACTGTATGGTAGCTTATTATAGCTATACCATTACATAGATTATGAATGCATTATGAATTCAAAAGGTTCTACTGTATCATTTAAATCTGTCTGCCAAGCGTGTTGGGAAAATATAGCTGATTCTATAGAAACACTTACTAAACAGACACAGTTAGCACATGTGCTGATCAAGGCTGAGAGCCAAACAGTATTGCCAGTTCTCACAATTTTATTCCGAGTCTAGCAATATTTGGATTTTTTTTAAAGATCTAGTCTTAGAGAATGAGAATCTCAGTGGTCATTAAAAATGGTTTGTAGCCTTCATGGTTGCAGAGAAAAGCTTGAAAACATACACCTGAAAAGCACAGAAAACAGATGCAAAAGACAAAAAGAAACCAAAAAGTATTTAAAATCATTTCTCAGGATTTTCACTGTTAATGTTATGATTATCTGGGGACTGATGCATGATTTCCCAGTGCTTGGGGTTGGCAATACAGTCTGACTTCCATGACCACCTCTTCTTTTCCTCATACCTTTTTCAAATTTCTTCTGAGCTGACATTTTCCACTCTTGGTCTCAGGCCAAAGGTGATGTTTGGGTAGAAAGTTTGAAAGGACAGTTAATCAGGTAACATGTTACAGACGGTGTTTGTTCTTCTACAAACATGGGTATACAAAATAATCTTATATTGTAGCATTTAAATTTACACAGCTTGTGGGGAGGGGAAGGGGGTTTATTATGAAACTGCTGCAAAACAGAGTGTGTTGTAAAAACAACATTGTTGTGTATATAAAATAAAGCTGTGGTGCATTGTGTGAATATTTGTGGCTTCACAGCGCATCAGTGTTTAGCAGTTCTGAGGCTCACAGTGCGGGTGGAGTGGGGTGGGCAGTTAGGGAACGGGTCCCTTCATGTGTTGGGTGGAGTTGAGGGTAAGGAAGGTCTTCCCCTGTCTCTCTCTCTCTCTGGGGCAACAGTGTGGGAGAGAGATACACTCCACTCAGGGCAAGCGTGCAGGGGCAGAAGGAAAGGAAGGTCTCCCTCTCTGCCTACTGCTCATAGGTGCAAGAGCTGGAGCTTCCCTAGGCCCCAAGCTGGCTGCATTGGGATGCAAATAAGGCGGAGCGCGTGCTCCTCTCCGGGGGGAGGGATTGTTTATGGAACCTCCGCCGGGAGCCACGCGCCGGGCGTACGAAGCTGCCAAGCGAATTCCCCATTGGGTGGGAGGAGGCTCGGGAGCAGCGGGGGGGGGCCTCTTGTGTGTGTGGCGCGCGGCGCGTCGCGTGCTGTTCCCGGGGGCTCGCGAGCGGCGGCAGCAGCAGCGCGTGTTGATAAGGGGCAGCGCTCAGAGGAACCTGCTGCAGAGGCGCATTGACAGCGCGCAAGGGAGCAGGGCTGCAAAGAAGGGGAGGGGGTGGGTTACTGAAGCAGCCGCGGCCGGGATTGTGGCTGAGCGGGCAGCGCCCGGCTCCACGCGCTGGGCACGCTCCCCCTGTTTGCAGTTAAGGAGGAGGGGGAAATATTTGGCAGGGGTTTTTTTTTCTCCCCCCCAAAAAACTATTTTTGCAAGTTTTTTTTTTTCTTCCTTTCAAACTTTCCCCCACTTGCAGCCCTGCCCCGGTCACCTGCCCCCCGGAGGCTGAGGTAGCGTAGATGCCCCAAGATGAACGGCGGGCCAATAGCAGCTGCCATGCAACAGCCACCCCCGCCTTGCACAAGTTTTCCCTTGCACGGATGCGGCGCCGGTTCCTTGGGGATGAAGTTCCAGCCGATGCCAGGAGCAGTCTCCTCCTCGGTGCCGCAGCAGCAGCTGCTGGTGGCCGCTAAGGGCCCGGCTCTGAACCCCAGCTCCTCCGCGGCGCGCTGCAAAGGCTCCAAGCGGCGCTCCGGCTCGCCCGAGCTGCTGCGCTGCAAGAGGCGCCTGGCTTTCCCGGGGCTGGCCGGGCAGCCGCAGCCGCCGGCGGGGGGAGCAGCGGCCGTGGCCCGGCGCAACGAGCGCGAGAGGAACCGGGTGAAGCTGGTCAACCTGGGCTTCCAGACCCTGCGCCAGCACGTGCCCAACGGCGCCGCCAGCAAGAAGATGAGCAAGGTGGAGACGCTGCGCTCGGCCGTGGAGTACATCCGAGCCCTGCAGCAGCTGCTGGACGAGCACGACGCCGTCCGCGCCGCCTTCCACGACGGCCTCCTGCCTCCCGCGCGGGCCGCCCCCGGCGGCGGCTGCTCCTACTCCTCCGCGTCGCCCTCCTTCGCCTCCGCCTCCTCCTCCTCCGGCGGCCGGGAGGGCAGCTCCGTGCCGGGCTCCCCGCACTCGGCTTATTCCTCAGATGAGAGCGGCTACGAGGGGGCGCTGAGCCCTGAGGAGCGCGAGCTGCTGGACTTCACTAGCTGGATCGGGAGCTACTGACCCGCGCCGCGTCCCCTCCCCGCAGGTAAAGCGGCCGGTGCGTGTCCTGCTCTGTACCCTCCTCCCCCCACTCCCATTGCAATAGGTGCAGTGGTGCTGCAAAGAGCTAGTGGTTGCGATGCCCCAAATGCCCTACGCGGTTGCAAGAATCAGTTGCCCTACGCTAGTCGGTTGCACTGGCTGAATGATCTAATTGAGCGATTGGGTTGCACTGCCAAAAAATAATAAAGTTTCGTCACAAAAGTGAATGAACGCGGCCTTTCAGCCATCTCGTTAACAAACGAAGACGTTGGAGTCCAGTTTAATCAAATGCTGTCCTTGAGTTCGACTGCATACAAACTTTCCCCCAACTTTTAGGTCCCAGGTGAGTCACCACTGGAAATAGCTGCAATCTGAATAAGACACCTGGCTGGTTTTGAAAGTTGGGGGTGGAGTAGAGAATAAAAACTTTCAGATTTGGGTGGCAAAAACCCAAAACAAATGAGGAAACTAAATGTATAGCAGTCATTTTCGGACGGAAGGGTGGAGTGGAGAAGCTACATGGGCATGTGGGGCGAGTTCTACTTGAACAGTATAAAGACAATAAATCACTGGCACATCATTTTGTGGAAGAGATTTAAACTGCACCGACATTAATTAGTGTAGAAATGTGGCCAGGGAGGAAGCTGTGCATCTCTCCCAGAGGTTGGGCAGAGTCTGTTAGTCACATGCTGCAGTGCTAATAGCCCTTTTCTTTTTCTTTGTAGCAGCCTTGAAAGCAGAGATGTGCGGGACCTCAGTACCTCTTGTCCTTGATGCCTATTATGATGCAGCAGAAGAGCAAAACGGACTCTTCTTACTACAACATGTTTTCTACCTTCAAGGAGCCCTATTGTCAAGGTCTTTAAGGGACTGGGCTTTGGAACCTACCTAGCAGGGTTCTTACTTGGAACAAAAGACTGTGGCTCTTAATTTTTTTTTTTTTGAAAGTGCAATTATGTAAATAGGTTATAGGGACCAATATCTTTAACTGCTGTTGTACAGGAGTTTATGGTGCCCTCCAAGGCTTTAATTGCCAATGAAATGGTTTGGTATACTCATGTTTCAAGTGATGGAAATCTACCAGGCTTCCAACTTTTAACACATATGTTGTTGTTTTTTTATTTGGGAGGGGTGAAAAATGAACACTTGATGCTTCCTTTTCTGAAGGGGGAGGGAATTTTTGTAATGTCAAAGATTCTATTTTATATGTAACTTGAACTGCCTATGGGAACGCTATCAATATGAAGACTTATTTTTGTACAAGAAACTGTAGAAACAGGGAAAGGGAGGAGGAGTTGTTCTAGTAAATCCAATCCCCTTGTTCCTTAACACTGCCAGCTAGAATGTTTTGAGAACTTATACAATTTAGAGAATATTTTTTCCAATACTACTAAGGACTGTAAAAATTATGTTTTGTCTTAAATGTGGTGTCCAAGTCTTGTCTGGTGTGAAGGTTCACTTATCTGAAAACTGAAGTTTAATGTTTTGAAGGCATTTTGTATGCACTTGCAAGGGTTTCTTAAGTTGTACATATGCAGTTTTTAAAGAGTATTTTATGTAAATTGACTTTATAAATAAAATCTATTTATAAATGGCTTCTCTAGTTATAGGATGCACATTCCAACCATGTCTACTTACAAATTCTTTCCATTTTGCATGAGGAAGACCTGTTAAGCATGAGAACACTTTTATGGTAGCAAATCATTATATGGGGCCAGATGGCGCACACTATGGCCAGACATATTCACAGTCCTTGTGCTCAGCTGAGTCCAAGAATGTTGTATGACTAATATTGCTAGGAGAACTAGCCAGCCAAACATGCATGGGAAGGAAGTGAGATTACGAAGGGGCCAGCGTGCTCCACCCTCTTATGAAGTAATACAAAGGGGGTTGTCTCTGAATGCCTTCCATCTCCCCAAGATGTAGTGGTGCAGCTCTGCCTAGCCTTCATTGTGGTGTTTGGCCTAAAGGCACAATACAGCTCTAAGCAACTACTGGAGACAGTGGTTTTCTGAGGTTTCCATTTGTCCTGACCCTGCAACTCTCAGGGTTAGAATCTGATATCCTTATTCAAGTTGATTAGTACCTTTGAAATCACTGCTCAGGGTGGGTGGGGGTATCCAAATCTGGCCCAATGTTAACTGAAGATATGTAAAAGGATGAATATACCATTTACTTAATACTCTTATTCAGAGGTAATAAACACCATTATTTAAGAATTTCAGCTGAGTAAGTGTTGCAGGTTCTTATAATCTCATTTAAGAGGTTTAAGACTTCTGGGTTTATGCTAAAGGCATGTTTCAGTGGGAGCATGCTACAGCTCCCTTCAGCTATTGGGGAAGATTACTATGGATCAGCAATGACAAAAGAAGGGAGAATATGAATGGGAAAACAAAGGCCCTTATTTCCCAAATATAGTGGTAGCTAATTTAATTCAGCGAACTGTAGCAAAATGGAACAGGATATGCTGAGTGAACACAGAACAAACCACAGAAATTTAACTTACTTTCCAAAGACCATGTGTATAGATCCTCCTCACTCTACTGGAGTAAGTAGTGCATACATCTTGTGATTCAAGGAAAAAGCAATGGGAGGATACAATTCCACCTCTCCCCTATTTTATTTCAACTACTAACTAGGATACTTTGTATCATACAGCACATCATCCAAGGCTATGTGTGCTTTTACTCTCAGTCCTAATAGATGAAAGCCCAGTGAGGTTAAGGGTTAGACCAGGGATCGGCAACCTTTGGCACGTGGCCTGTCAGGGAAATCTGCTGGCGGGCCTGGATGGTTTGTTTACCTGCAGCGTCCACAGGTTCGGCTGATCGCAGCTCCCACTGGCCGTGGTTCGCCCTGCCAGGCCAATGGGGGCTGCGAGAAGTGGCGCAGGCCAAGGGATATGCTGGCCACCCCTTCCCGCAGCCCCCATTGGCCTAGAACGGTGAACCACAGCCAGTGGGAGCTGCGATCGGCAGAACCTGTGGAGGCTGCTGGTAAACAAACTGTCCCGGCCAGCCAGTGGATTTTCCTGACGGGCTGCGTGCCAAAGGTTGCCGATCCCTGGGTTAAACTTTCAGAAGGCCAGAGCACCCACAACTGCTTTTAAAGTCAACAGCTAAGGGTATTTTAGCATCTTTTATAAACAAAACAGCAAACAGGTCCTAATGTAAAAATTTCAAAAACATTTTAGTCTCTTGGGAGCTTAAGTACCATGGAAATATAATGGGACTTATATCCCTAAAGCACTTTTGAAATTTTTCCCCTATGCCTTGTCAGCACCACACAGCACACCAGTGGTAGAACAGAGAATAGAGCTTTGCCTGGCACGCCAATCCCATAACTAGACCTGGGGGTTGTGAATCAGTTGTAGGGCCAAGGTTTACAACTTCCATCCCTTTTCCTCTCATTTAAAAAGAATTGTATGTCTAACTCTTACAGTTAGCGCAAAAATATGAGCCAAGCATAAACTGATGCAGGGATGCCTGTAAACAGCCTGAAACAATAACTCCAAGACAGGTTTAGGGGGATCACAGACACCCTGCTCTCCTCATATTACTTAAATGGAAGGTGAGTCCCAGCTAGATCCTTGGCAGGGGTCCCAGCATGGAAAATGTGGATAACAACTGGTCTAGACAACTTTAATACTGTTTAAAGAAGAAAAATAATACTCAGCCATTAAAGTGATTGATACCAAAAGGTTATATTTGAATTGTTAATTTAGTATTAAGTCATTCATTGCCTCTAAAACACTAGATCACAGAGATACTGCTGCAGCTGTATTAAAGCTGTATCAACTGTAACGATAGCAACATTTATTTAAACTGTAACTGGTGAGATGCTAAAATGATGAATTATTTAGGCAGTCTATAGCTGTTCAATGGCATGGATTATGAACGGAGCCTTTGGTCAACCTCCCATTCACTTTTATACCGTCGGCCAATATTTGAATAACTACTAAGTGGAGAAAGCAATTTTCTGGGTAAGCTATGATTGAATCTACTCAAGAATCATCCCATGTAATTTTCGAGATGATCCAACAGAACCATCTTGAAGATAATATTGAACATAAATGAAAAGCAGAAGAAAGAGCCAGAATTTGAAGTGAGAAGGGTCCCTCTATGTTTGGCTACTATAAAGAAACTCCAGATAAAGCTACTTGAACAAACTAAATAGTTCTAAGTCTTTCTACTGTTGAGGAAAAAGATACATTGTTGCTGGCTTGTAGAAAGTTTCAGGGAATTGAGAAAAGATTTCTCTTCCCAGCGTCAGAGTATGTGAATCATTAGAAGAGAGTATAGTTTACTTCCCACTGTAGCAAGCTGAGAAAACAGCATTAGAAGAAAGAAGTATCAGACACTGATTTTGAAAGAACTATGGGTAGTACAAAGATTTTAAAGAATGCTTTTATTTATAAGCTTTTTGAAGAAATAAGATGGAAAGAATGTGCCAAATTAAAAAACAAACAAACAAACTAAATTAAGCCACCTCTAAGCCTTTTTCCTGCCAGCCATTTTAATCTCAAATGAGACCTCAAGGTACTTTTTAGTTTAAATGCACAAACCATACAGGAAATATAAAAGCACCAAAGTACTAAGATGACTTCACGCAAATGTTAACAGCTTTATACGTCCCATACATTGTATCTGCCCTCTTTTACGTAGGCACTGAAAAGACATGGGTCATCAGTTAATGTGGGAGAGGGAACAAAATAGATTTCTTGTTCTCTGATGGTTCCAGGGGTGGCAAAAAGACAGTGTACGTGATTTATATGTAAACTGGACAATGGAAGGGATTTTGTTAGCTATGTACAACCACACTTGATTCTACATTTCAGGCTCTGATGCCAACGAGAAAGTCTTTGGAACTCTGCCTGCCCAGAGTGTTCTAGACTTTAAAGATCAACACAGGTCCTGAAAGTTCCATATGTGAAGTGAAAGGGGGTGCCAGAATGAGAAAACTGGACACCCATGGCAAAGGCAGTAGCAGCAGCACAAAATCTCCCACCCTCACCAGTCTGGAGGTCTCATCTCTGTAGGTGAAGGGGGAATTCAGTCTCCATGTTAGTTCAATATTTGGCTTTTCTCTTGAAACTGCTATCAAGGGTGCCAGTTAGTGCCAACTGTGCAGTGCTTCTGTATATTGTGTCCATTGTAAATAGAACTGTGATCATTAAAGTATTTGAAACAGCAATGGCCCAGAACAATTCGGAAACAACTTTTGGTCACTGCAGATCTGGGCTAGACTTGAACTGACAATGTAGAGAGGAGTCTGGATATTCCCATCAGCAAAGCCGTGAGCCTTCCAACCTCTGTTCCGTAAGACTGTAAGCTTTTTGGGGTGGGACAGTCTTTTTGTTCTGTGTTTGTACAACATCTAGCACAGTGGGGTCCTGGGCCATGACTAGGCTCCTATACAAATAATAATAATTCTTTGCAATCCAGTTGCCCAGAATCTCAATCCTTTGTCCCAATACTTGATTCTCTTGGTTAGTGTTTCTATGAATTTTGAAATGTAAGTGCCTAAAACTAGACTCCTAAATAACCACCATGAGCACCCTCAATTCTCATGGACTACAATGGCAATTGTGGGCATTGTGCCTCTCTGACTAGCAGGTCACTGTTATTTAAGTTTCTAAAGAGGAATATAGACGTCAAACTTCAGGCACCCAATGCTCAGAGCTCATACCAAGGGAATAAAGCACCAGGGCAAAGGATTGATTTTTAGGCAATCAGATTCAAGCAAGAGAATTGAACAGAGGAGTCCAGGAAGGCTTAGTCCTTGTCTACACACAAAAATATAGTGGTGCTT